TCACTGTTTTGTGATCAAGTCCTCTTTTTCTATGAAGTTCCATTTTCAAAAGTTATTAGGGGTTCATTTGTTCAATGATCGACACTTGATACAGCCTATGGGCGTATGAAGGTTGGGTAGATCATCCAGGGGGTACGCTGTTTGAGCAGAGTGTCATCACAGCAACTCGCTTTCAGGAAATGGAGAAAATCCCTGAAATACCAAGACCAATCTGGCTTCAAATTCATACTATGACAGGATGCGGAGCCAAGTTGTCCATATTATATACAGTCTATGATATCAACTCATGCAACCTTGACTATCCTTCAACTGTGGCTCATTATGGTGTTATGAGTTTTTATCCTGTTTTGCTACCAGTGTCATCGTCGGTGGTGGATGTGGTAGTGTATTTGGACAAAACCTGACAAACTATCTGACATGAAGCTGCTCTCTGCCAAACTGTTTACCTTCTAACTAGCTCAGCAGGACTGCTCTAAAAACTTTTGTTGTTATACTGGAGTGAAGAGAGAGCCTACTTTTCGTGAAAGGAGCAGAAAATGACATGTGTACACTTTCCCAGATAAAGGAAAATAATGATAACTTGTTTTAAAATAGCTCCCACCATGTAATTTTCAGCTATTTGAAGAGGAACACAAGAAACAGCCTGTATTGACAATCTCTTTTGTGGCAACACAATTGCTTGTTCGCTCTGTTTATTCTTTCTTGGAGACAGAATTCCTTCGAAACACAATACATCTGCTGTGTTTACAGTTTTAACATTTTTCAGCGTATTGATTATTTTCTCTACTTTGGTAAATACAATGTTTTGCAGCAATTTTTCAAAGTGTAACTTGAACTGCGAAAGATACCCAGGACTCGTCATACGTCATGGCCAATTTGAACTGGGTAGAGCCATAAAAGCAAAGAGCAGCAACTGCTCTTCTTGGAGAGAGTCTCATCGTGTATGCAGGTCATGGACTCCAAAAAGCCTTTGTTCAAGTACGCCAAGAAACTTCTGCCTCCCTCTCCTGTCAGAGACGCTCCTTGAGTTAAAGTATTCCCTGTTCAAACAGTTTCTCTGGGAAACACTCCAGCAGTACTGTGCCTTATCGCCCAACCCATCAACTCATTTAAACCTGCTGCTGACTGCTGAGGGCCTGGAGACACCTCGTCTTTTCTTTGTACCAGCTGTTCCTACATGAGCATCAACCCAAGTGCCCGCTGATGGCTGTTAAGCTGACCACCTTCTAAATCGATGTCTGGACTGCCATCAGTGTGCCCCTTTTCCCAACATCTAGGCCGTTTTCAAGAGTCAACTCTTAAAGTCTCGCACTAAATATGGCAACAGATTTAGGGCACAATAAGTTCAGATAGGACTAATTTGACTTTCACTAGAGTCTATTTTTATGTTTTGAGATCTATATTTCTGTCTAAGTAAAGAATACGTGTCTTCGCCGTCTCTGCCTGACAGCACTTTGCATCCTGTAGTCTTCTTTGCTGCTTTCCTGCGTCTGAACAAAGACAGAGAGAACAATCTGTCCTTTTATTCCATTGAACAGTAAAGCATTGATTGGTGTAGCAAAGTAAAAAAGCTTCCCGCTGGGATGAAGGTGACTCCTACAGTCAAGGACGTGCACTCGCTGCATCCTCTGGGAAGAAGGTCTGAATTGTAATCAAAGTGCTTAAGACATACGGCTCAGGCTCAAGTCAGAAGGGCTTAAGGAAATAAATGCATCTATCGAGGTCTGGGTTAAATGTTCAAACCTGACCTGATCTCTGTGACGACTTGTTAGCAAAGGTAAATCCATCTGTAAAGAGCCAACCTCTAAATCAATCATCTGCCACTGATGTAGTCATGGAGACGATGATCATGTTTGGGTAATTGATTCAAGAGTTCACAGAAAAGTCACTAAAAGCATGGTCAGAGATGGCTGTAAAAGCACAACATGCACTTTCTTGTTTCACAAATTTGTACTGCACTTTTATTCAAAGTCCAAGAAAATAAATATAATCAGTCACAGCGTGTTTTGTTTCTTGGTTTAGACTAATGAACAAACCTTAATATTTCCACTTTTATCTGTGTGTAATGCTCTTTTATTGAGCTTATTAAAGCTCCAGTGAGGAACTTTGGATTTGTGTTAATTTTGGCGCCCCCTGTGAATAAAGCAGTGTTTGCTAATCTCATCATCTAATCTAAGTCATGTCTTCTAACAAAAGGGACATTTAAACAGTAAATTTCATCATTTATTGTGAATATTTTATGTGGAAGTGGTAAAACAAACAGGGCTGTTTTTTGGCTTTTTGGCTCACACCTACCCCTTCCCACTGGTTTCAGGCATTAAAAATGAACATATATGAATCATCAGTCTTGTTGCTGTTGGTCTTGTTTGGTTTGGAGATCATAATTAAGCATCAACCTTTATTTCAGCGTATTTAATAAATGTCAAAAAATAATTATGGGAGCTTTAAATCAGCTTTAAAAGGAGAAAAACATATTGAATCAAAGTATCACTGACTGAAAATGGGATAGTTGTGGTTAAATAAAACTCAAGGACAAAAATAGATTAAAATGTGATCAAAACTTTGACTCTGAAGAGTGAGACTGAATCTAAAATAACTGCCAAAACCAATGCTGATGCCATGTCTGAGTGTTTTTATATGTGGCTAGTGCTGTTTGTTTACAATCTGTGCATCTATGTCCTCCTTTGTCACAGCCCTGTTGCAAAAACACTTTGCACTAAGAGCCGTTGTTGACAGTCTGACTCCAAACTTGAGACGTGTGAATAAAATTGAAGAGGAGAGATGACTCGCACCACCTGGTTATTATCTCCTCTCATGAACAAAACGCTAAATATTTGCCTAATGGTCGCAAATAGTTTCAGTTTTGCAATACAGAGCATGTTTTTCCACTTCTTTTGCTCTCCCTGCATACAGCCTACACCTACTTAATACAGTGGATAGTATTACACATAGAGACCAGAATGCTTCCAACACCCACAATCGTGCCAATACTACAAATTCTGTAGTGATGCAAAAAATTCGAAAGAGATTGTTCATAAGCAAACTGATATCTCTGAATGATTATTAGCATGTTTGTCGACACTTAGAATTGATTGGTTTACTAATTAGGTCTTCTTATAGTCGTGAAATATAAACTCAGGGAACTGCTGATTACAACTCTTATTCCCAAGTGTTTGTGTAGGATTATCAAAGTCCTTCAAACAAAGGAAAAATGTTCTTTTTACAACAATGCCAAAACTAGTATAGAGAAATAAGATAAATGTCAAACATAAGAAAAGCCTGCAGCACTTTTTGCTGAACATATTTCAAGCATTACTTCAGAACGGCAAGTGTCTGAAGGTTTATGTTCAGATGAAAATTTGCCATTGGTCTCTTATAAATCTCAATCTGAAGAAACACAGCTTGAGCACGAACCCTCAATAAACAGCCGTGTGCACGTCTGCTGCTCCTGCTGAAACTCTGAACTCTATTTGTATGCATGATGAACGCTCCACGCATTATTTAATACCTTGACTAAATTGTTATAAGCTCTAAAAATATTGTGTCATATCAGAGTACGTGACTAATGGCTCGAGCTGGTGAGGAACATTATAACTGTATTACAGCGGGGAAAGCTTTGTGTCATTTGTTTCAGCAGTATGACAGATTTTAGATGCCAAATCAAATCTGGGTTGTGAGGCATGTTTCCTCTGGTTTGAAGCTGCTCTGTCTGTTCAAAAGAACATTTACGCCATTGTGTCTTGCCATAGTTGTTTTTCTCAAGGTTTTAAGATATCCGCTTCATATTACTGCTTTTGTTCAAGAACAATGAAGGGATGGGAGTTTGTTTGTGTTGGTCACAACAATAAGAAAAATGTATTTATAGCATGAATCTCTGAACAACCTTAGTCCTTTCAGACTATCCCCACAGTCCTTGTTGTGAGTAGTTTTCAAAAGGACTAAAACCCGGTTATAAAAAATATCATGAGAAAAAAAGTACTATTAATATCATCATTATTAATTATCTCACAAAAACTAAAGTTTCAAGGCAGTGACTAAAACTTTTAATCCTATGAAGGAGAAAAATGTAGAAATTTAAAAATGGCAAAAATAACCGTATAAAGGGTTTGAAGAACTATCTAAGATTTAAATATTGAATTCATATACAAGACACACCACATTAATATAACGACGACAACTTTAATTCAAATTCAAGTTTAGCTTTAGCTGATATAACTCTCTCATTGTTTTACTTTATTCATTTTAATGTGGGTGACATCTTCTTTAGTCCTTTAAAAAATTTGAGATTTTAAGACTTGTTCGCTCTCTACGGTGTTTCTTTTTTTAAGTAAACATTTTAAACACAAATATAAACTCTTTTGGATACTTAAACAATGGTAATCAAATTCAGCACAATACAAATATTGTTGTTCATGTGAGCAGTCCAAATAGTCTTAACATGTTAACAGATTTAACTTCATTTTAGTGAAAATTTGACTCAGATTTCAGACTGTGGTGAGAGGAGTCAGAATTATCCACGGGGTTTTACTAACTTGAGTTACTGTTTTTCCCTCAACAAGGTTTTAAGATGTTGCCAGGTTTGGATTTACCCATGTGAAAATTTGACCATAAGTTTTTATATAGCAAGTCATGTAAGTTATTTTCCCCATATTAATTATTTATGATGTTTTTGGCACAATTGGGCTAAAATAAAGTAACTTCAGAAGGTAGACTTGACAAGGTTTTACAACATTGCCAGGTATGGATTCATTTTTGTGAAAATTTGGCTTGAAGTTTTATTCAGGAAGTCACGTAAGTTATTTTTCCCGTTTTAATTAGTTGTTGTTTTTGGCACAGTTAGGCTACCATATCCAAGTGGGTTCAATAACGTTTTAAAACAATTGAGGTAAAGATATCTTAATATGCCTTTTCCCTCCCATTTATAGGTTCATGTGTTATATTCTGTGCGCCACCCCTCTCTCTCTCTCTCTCTCTCTCTCTCTCTCTCTCTCGCTCTCCCTGCGCGTGCACTCGGGCACAAAAAGCGGCAGTAGCGGCGCAGATCTCGCGCTTCCACCTCCCAGTTTCCGGTAAATACTGCCAGCTGCAACTTTTGTTCCCGCACAGCTGCCGGTGGTTCCTCCTCACTCACTCACTCCCTCACTCACTCTCTCGCCCACTCACGACCAAGTGGATTCATTAAAAGTGGAGTGGGCAGCTGGGTGATGTCATATCCGTGAAGAAGACTCCCCCCAAAGCGTAACGTGAACGCAGCACGGGATTTCGCTGCATGTATGCTGCCCACAAACTTTTTCCCCCCTCTTGTAAGCGACGAGGTTTCTCCCCGCTGTCTGCCCGCATGGCGTGCGTAACGGCGGGGGCGAGTGGATGGATGTGCCCCTTCCCTCTCCTGGAAAATACTGTTTTTGTCACCAGCGTGTAGTGGACGAGGGGGCGCGAACCCACGGGAAGAAACTTGCGTGATTTTTTTTGTCTGGTTCCCCGGTCGAGGAGGAGGAGGAGACGCTGAAGCAGCCGGCAGAATGTGGTCGCTGTCCGCGGTCCTGAACCCGCTGCTGTTCCTGCTGCTGTTCGGATACTGCCCTTCTGTGGTGAGTTCACTGCCCTCAAAATCCTCTCAAAAACAAGAGAATAAACTCCAACAACAGCCGAGTCTGACCTTTAGTGGTCTTGTTGTAAACTTCACTTGATCTCGGGTGGGTGGAGCACTGCACAAAGCTTCCACTAACACGAGAAAAATGACTCATTTCAGATCCAAGGTATTTTGGCAGCTCCTTTTGCAACACCCTCTGTAAGTTTAGCTCTGATGTGCAAAAATGTTTGGGGGAAAAAAATACAAAATATAAAGCGGTGGCACCCTCACAGCACTCATGTTTATTGCCTACATCAACCACATAGCTCTGATATTGATCCTGGAGGATTTCCAGGCACATAACTCACTTTTAAAGGGGGAGTTCAATCAGTGTAAAGAAAAACACCGCTGAATTATAACCAAATCTCCCAGACTGCTCCAAACGGCGTGATTCAGGCTTATTTCTCATCCCCTTCATAAAAACTGACTCCAATGATTCCTCTCATGCTCTCTTCTTCTTCTCTGTCTGTTTTAACCTGACATTCATGATCTTAATTGGAATGCATCTGGGAGCATTGTCACAAATTAGGAGCAGCTTGCAGATCACCAAGCCATTTGGACAAAAACAATGGTCGATTAGGTTCATCCCACCCATGCAGAGCATATTCCCTCTGCCAGTGTCTTGATTGCAAAGCGGTGTCCTCAGATATTTCCATACCACCTTGCCATGATTGAATATGTTGTGCAGAATTAATGCACCCCAGGACTGTTTACAGGCGAAGCAAAGGCTCCAAACTGTAAAAAGATCTATCAGAGAGTCTCCACGAAGGGCGAGAACAAAGGAGGAAGCAGCTGCCTGGATTATCTAATGAGAGAAAAAGTCTTTGTGCAGAGTTCTTTGCACACATAAAAAAAAAGCCTCATTGGAGAGTGCATCTGGCTTGGCTGTGCTTCAGATTCATTTTAATACGAGGAAATGTGAGTGTGAAGGAGGAGGAAAAGGATGTGCGTCACTCGAGAGACAGAGGAGAAAGACCCTTTTTGACGGATTAGTGAAACTTCTTTTTAGGATGCTTTTCATCGCCGTGCACGAGAGGAAGAGACGCTTCTTCCCTCTTTTTATCCCATTCAGCTGTGAAAGAGGAGCAGATTCCAGATACAGTCACGGTGCACCAAAAACCAAACCAGTATCTCTGATCATTTCCACCACAGTGCCAACCATGACCTCCAAATGGTACAATGCAGAATCACTTCACTTCTCCTCCTGCTGCTGCTTTTCAGCGCGGTTTCACTCTTGTCAGGGGTGGCACATACTCTAAATAACTCTAAAAGTACGAGTTTGAAACCTCTCCACATGACACGCCTGTCAGGTTCAAAGTAGCAATGGGGCATCTATAGAAAGAGCTTTTCGAAAACCTTGATCTCAGCTTGAACCAGACAAAGATCAGGGCTGCGGCGCTTTGATAAGACCTAAAAAACAATCTTTTATGATCTGATAACAGCAATATAAGAATTCTGTTCCAGACCGAGGAGTATAAGAGCACAGAAAGTATGTTTTATTTTCAGGATGTAGAAGGATTAGAGTTTTAAAAGTAAAAGGTATGAGAGGCAATTTCAGTGTCTAAATGAGGACTGTAAATCAGTAGAAAGCTATCACATCCAAGTTTACCTAGAAAAGCAATCCCTCGAGGGGTGGAAATGATTAGCCCATGTTGTCCATGATGTGACATCTTCGCCTGCTCAGAGGGGACGTGATCTTTCTTGGCTGATTCTCAACACTCCTTCAGTTCTCCAGGCTGGCAGTCAAAGATGAATGGGAGGGAGGGAGGGAGAAAGAGGAGGAGGAGGAGGAATGCATGCCATAACTATAAAAAAAACAGGGCACTTCACTTTTCTTTCCCTTAGCTTCAAAGCCTGTTAGATGCCAAAGTTCACATTCTCAACTTACTCTCCAGCCAGATAGACTTAAAGAACCAAAAACCAAATCCAAATAAAAGTTGGTCGTCTGCCAAAGATGCTGGTAGCGCAGACAAATCCTGCCATCCGTGGTTAAAAGGTTGCCAGTACTTGGCTTGAGACTTGTGTTAATTTCCCGTGCTGACAGTAAACAGCAGAATTGTTCAGATTCTGTGTCTAAAAGCTATCAACTTTTCCAACACTTCAGCACTCTTTGATCGCGATTCAGAGCCAAACTGGATTTTACTGTGTACACTCTGACATTAGTTGATGGTGCTGCATTAAAATATGCTGCATAGGCTTATGATGCATAACTTTATGTTCTTTTAGCTTTATACCCCAGTGCTGTAGAGCAGATTGAATGCAATAAAAAAAAGGAGGAAAAGCTCCCACAAATCAGGTTTATCTGCGTCTCCCAGCAGGACTTGGAGTTTGAGCGCAGGGAGAACTAGTGTGGAGAAAACAGAAGAATCTCAGCTGCGAGGTTATTCATCAAGGCGAGGAAACTCTATTTACTGTAAAAGTGGAAATTCACTGGAGACTGCGGAGGAATACCTTACACAAGAAGCACTTTCAAAGACTTTTTATAAGTCACTGGAATTGGTTGGCGTCGAAACGTTGGTGGCAAAAAGAATGGATGACTCGTGAGGAAATGAAGCAGCTGTGTGTGTGCGCCGTTATGTCCTGATAGCATCAGTGCTGAGGTTTATTCAGTGTGTCTGTCTCTGTGTGTTCAGAGCTGTGTGCCTGTGTTTCTGCATACAGACCATCCGGCCAAAGGAGGGGTGGCAGGTGTACAGCTCGGCTCAGGATGCAGATGGGCGTTGTATCTGCACAGTGGTGGCACCCGAGCAGAATCTGTGCTCCAGAGACGCCAAAGGCAGACAGCTCCGCCAGCTCCTGGAGAAGGTATGCACACTCACATCACCTGAACACACACACACACACATGCACACTTACTGTAAGCAAGCAGCCCCCCCTCCACCCATCCTTCAACTCATATAAATTGATTTCTATCATTATCCATGCTTCTTTGTTGCCATAATCCTCTGAGAGATTGCACCAGCCAGCCTCATAAACCTTGTTTTCCACTTCTGCATACATTACAGGGATGACATCAGCTTAGTGGTTTCTTATAAAGATAAGAACGCTCTTCTTCACACCTGGAGAAGTGCCTTTTGTTTATATGCAACAAATCATTCAAGTTGGAAACTTTCCATGGGAATTAATGGGAATATATCGGAATCATAGACTGTATATACTATGGACAACTAGGTTCTGCCTTCTGCCAGTGTACGGATTGGAAGCCAAAAAGCGCTCAGTATTTCTGCAATTTTTCTTTATTTTCTTGAAACCAGCATTGCGCAGTAGCGTTGTACGCATTCAGTGGGAGAGTCGCAAAGAGTCACTGTGATGACGCTCGGCTCAAACAGCGTATCCCCCAGGTGAGCTTCGGAATCCCTGAATGCCAAAAGGCTGTATCAAGTGTCAATCATAGAAAACATGAACCCCCTAATAACTTTTAAAAACAGAGCTGTACAGAAAAAAGAGGACTTGAACAGATGATTTCTTGAACCCTGGAGGCCACACTTTTGAGCCCACAGACTATATAAAGTCAAGTAAGTTTTGATGATATTATGGGGTAAATATATAAAAGTAAAAGATCTATATTCATATTTAACTTGCAAAAATTAAATCAAAACAGGTGCTAAATGTAAGCTATTTTTCATTTCATTGACCATTTAAGGGGCTCGCTTATTATGGTGGTGGTAGCTACCTCAAATGTGATGCTGTTTCTTCTGACTCCTGCAAGACGGTTTTCTGTAACTAGAGCTGCAGCTATAGAATATTTTAGTAATCGAGCAATCTACCGAATATTCTATCGATTACTCGAGAAATTGGACCCAAACGACAGACTCACATAAAGTTAGATTTCCTATAGCCCCGCAATGAAGGCCAGACTCAGAGAATTAGAGGACAATCTCAGAACAAGCATGTGCGTTAGCGGAATGCAATGCTCGTAAGAAAGCTAAATTCGCCAGGTTGGCAACACTGCAAGAAAAGCCCTTCTCATCATTTATTTTTCTGATGCTAATGTTGAAGGAATTGTATTATTTTGTATGGATGTCTGCTATTGACAAAACAAAAATATTAACATTTATGTTTGGATATGATACAGTTTGTTTAAATTACCCCCAATTTCAAGTCAATTCCTGTTAGGGTGATTTTCTTTAGCCAGTCATGTCAGCCTTCAGGGTGGTGGAGCTGTGTCACTTAAATACCTCAGATACTTTAGTGATAGATTTCCGCAGCCATGGGCCTCCGACAACCATCATAAAACAAGGACCTTGAACCCGTGTTTAACATCACTCAGGCTCCCAAAATATGTTGTGCTTTGTTATTACCCTACATGGACTCTCCCTCAGGTCAACAAAATGCAAGTGGAATGTTTTGGAAACGTGGACGACTATATATACTTAAACAGTCTCAGATCAGTCTTTGTTACACTTGTGGCATGATGAAGCTGTAGATCTGCAACCAGTAAAGCTTGTCAAAATGATCATTCCTGTGGACCTTCTTTTTTTTAAAGTGTGAACATGGGCTAGGCATCCTTACTGTTCTCATAAATTCCCAATAATTCCCAAGTTTCCAGTTTGGAATATTTCCAACATTCCCCAGCTTAACTTCCCATGGAAAGTTTCTGGAAATTTACTAGAAGTTTTCAGCCCCTTTGCAACCCTAGTTTGGACCTAATAGTCAGGCCTGGGAGTGTTGTTCTGCCCTGCTGAAGGAGGACTTCCTGCTCTTATGGAAGCTGTTTTTTTTTTTCATCCATCACCATGGATTTTTTTTTTTTTAATTAAAAGCATGCATTGATTTGATTCGCTAAATGCAGCAGCCAACAGTGTGAATTTAAGTAGAAACAGGACTTTTTAATTCCCGCAACAGGAGTGATTTAAAACATTATCTACAAACAAACAAACAAACAGCTCAGCGCCAGAGTCACTTCCCTCAATTAATAGTCCATATAAGGAAACATTGCTCCAGCCTACATTTTAATGTCGGGTGCCCGAGGCTGTTCTCTGTCATTCACTGCGGTCTCTGACACTAATGTACTAAGCTGCCTGAGGGCCTCAGTGAGGCCATTTCAGGATCCCTCAACCAGAGCCAGGAAAGTATGCAGAGCACAATGTGCGAGTGTTGTGCCACTTTGCTAGCGATGTGCTTCAGTAGTGTTGGTTGGCTACAATTAGAGCAAAGGAGAGGAAAGAGAAAGAGAGTGAGAGAGGGAGAAAAGAGCACAGTTCATCTTGTATACATGCCCCACAAACCTAGTCTGCTTTTGTTAAGGAGGGGAGGGTGAGCAACACTGCAAAAAAGCAAAATTACCAGAAAAAAAAAGTAATTTATGCTAAATATTCTCAAGATTAGTACACGTATCTACTCACAAGTAGTGCATGCACATCTTTTGTCTGGTGATTTTCACTGTTATTTCAGAGAGTGTCCTCAAACAGAGCAACTCCTGGTCCTATTGTCCCAAATCAAGGCTGTGTTTAGAAAAATATTAAATCCTAAAACCAGGAGAGCCGAACCAATTTAAAAAAGAAAAAACCTGACTCTGACTCGGCAGTTTTGAGCGTGAGTTTTGCTTCAACAGCTTTGTAACTCTGGGAATTCAAGTTTCTAGCATTACAATGGAGGATTAGGGCCGTAATAAGAAAGGAGAGGAAATAAAGTTAGGACTTTATGGGAATCAAATCATGAGATGAGAAAAAATACAATAAGGGAAAAATCTAAGTGACTGTGAAGTTATGATAACATAAGAATCTAGTTGTGATTTTAAGGCAAAGGAAACTATGGTTGATTATTATGTTAAGGGTAGGAAATAGTGCACAAGCAGCTGAGTGCTTTCACCACACCCTTGAGAGGATTGTCGAGAGTGTTGAGAGTTTTAACTTGAGAGATTCAGAAGGAGCAGAACGTCTGTGTATCAAGAGTCATCACAAAAGAGCGAAGAGGTATTAGTATATCGAGCCACTCCTGAAACAGAGACAACATCAGAAGCATCCTACCTGGACTTGAAGGTCCAAACTCCTCTGAACACAAGGATGTTAATTATCCATTTTATTCTGAAATAAAGCTCCTGGAGGCACTGAATCTAAAGTTTCCAAAGCCTGTGATGATCTGGGGCGCCATTTTCTTTAAAAATGAGGTCAGGAGAGTTTCGAGCTCATCGTGATTTCAATTGGCAACAAACTTTTAGATGACGCTGAGTTCCTTTTACAGCACAACTTTGCACCTGCCCACAGCGCCAAAACATCTACTAAATGACTTGCTGACTACGATACTAGAGAATCTGTAAGGAGAGTAAAAACACCCCAAAGTATAACAAAGCTTATGGCCTAAATATATATAAAAGCAGTCTGATTGCTGATTGCTGAAAGTGGCCGGCTGCTACTTTAATCTACGTCTTCATAACAATCAGCTAACCTAAGACTACACCTATAACTTTATTCTCAATATAATTCGACTTTTTTTTCTTGTGACTTTGTAACCTTTATATTTATAAATCTCTTTTTTTTCCTTCAGAGAGGACCTGATTTGGTTCCTTTAGGGGTACTCATCTCTGTGGCAGTACCTTCAACTAGTGCACCCTTAACAGTTTTAGTCTCTTATTTAAAAGGTACAAATTGGCTTTATCAGGGTAAAAAATATTGTATTATTGGTAATATTGGAGTGAACGTTTTGGTTGCATACATAAAACACCCCATCCTCACACCCTTTTTATGTAATATTAAATCTTCTTGTCTTAAATTTTCTACTTTTTGCTCTTATTCTTACTGATATTTAACTTTATTCTTGTAAATTTATAACTAAAATCTCATGTCAAAGACCCCACAGAGGATTGACAGTAATCAATTCATGTACAAAAGAAAGTTGGAGGACGACTTTGTGAATAAACTTAAATATTCACACTATTATCTGTTTATACAGGTGAAAGAAAAGAAAGCACAGTTTAGCTGTAATGAAGTGAACCTTTTTATCCAGTGTTTTGTTATTGTTGATCCAACAGCTTTATACTTCTGTTTATATTCAAGGCATTAATATATTCAAGTCATGACAAAATCACTTAATTGGCTCTCATCATAAAGATAAATATGTATTGAAATATGTGAAATGCAAACAGCCAGATAAAAGGAACTCTCATCTTGATTTAAAGCATTTCATCTTATTTACATTTCATGTTTTGCAGCTTAATGTGTCAAATATCTACTTTGAAATATGTTTTCATGCACAGCAGATTCAATGGTTTATTCATGATGTTATGAATTTTTTTCCCAAAAAGTAAAAATTTACGTATGAAAGGAGAGAGAAAAAGAGCAAGAAACATCCTCATGGAGGAGTAAAATCCATTTCAGGCTCTATTCAGCTCACACATGGATGGTTAAAAGACAATCTGGTGGAGGTCAGAATGTTGATTTGTTCCTCAAGAAGTTAGAGCATGGCAGGCTACGGCGCGGCTGAACATGGAGGACATTTTAATCTTGTGGTCGGCGGGAAAATCAATGGCGTGCTGTTTCATTCTTTTCAAAAGGTGCAGAACATGTCGCAGTCAATCGAGGTGCTGAACCTGCGGACGCAGAGGGACTTTCAGTACATCATGAGGATGGAGAGCCAGATCAAAGGGCTGCGCTCCAAGTTCCGACAGATCGAATCGGACAGGAAGACGCTCGTCAACAAAAACTTTCAGGTATATTTTTTGTTTGATGTGCAACTTTGTGTGGAACATCACAGAAAAGGGTGTGTGAAAGGAGCTCCTCTGAAGAAACCTGAGAAGAATCTAAATTGATACCAGAGTCAGATCAATACAGGTCTACTACTGCCGGTGAAGGACAAAAAACTGTCTCAAAGAGTTGGGCTGGCAATGAAAGCAGCAGCCAGCATGAGTCCTTAAAACTCTTCACTGGTGAAAACAACAGAGTTTGAAAGATAAAGCAGAACAACACACGGCAGCTTTTATGATTTCACTCTAAGTGGAATAATTCAGGCATCTAAAATACTGTAATATACTTGTGTAACTACATTAACCAACAATGTTCAAATTCAGATACATTTAGTTTTAAATTATTACACAGCTGTTTCTAATACTCACCTCTGATTGGTCAATGGGAAGGTCCATTATTTCCAAACAACAACCGACCAAGAAGTGTGAAAAACTGCAGTTCCTTGAGTGTCCACTGGGGGCCTGCTGCAAAAGCCCCTAAAGCCACATACACACCCATTCAAAAAAAGGAATGTTAGAGCCCAACATGTAACAATAACCCAAAATGTAACGAAAAACTGTATCAAAACCCAAAAGAAAACATTTGCACTGAATATAACAACTTGATGCATTATGTGTTGCTTATTACAATTTGGGTTTTATTACATTTTTATGTTACATTTCAGGATTTATACATTTTTTACATATTGGACTCTAACTAGGATGACAATATTGTGAATCCCCGAAAGGAGGACACTACTACGTGGGACAGAGTCACAGAGTCACATATAGTAAATTTTGAGAGTTTTTCAACTCAGTTGGTCAACGAGACACAAACTAAAAAATTCCATTAAAAAAACATGGACATTTGAAGGATTTTATAAATTCCTCGGACATGGCTGGACAGCCCCCCCGAAAAAGGACATGTCCAGGTAAAAGAGGACATATGGTAACCCTAGCTCTAACAAGCCAGGAATATTTACATGTTTACAGCCTGGTAATAATTCAGCTTTGACTGAAAGTTTCAAATTTTTACTGTGAGTGCATTTTGGATCCAAATGCTGGTTATCGGTCCCATGAATTACCATTATAGGGATTTGTATCGGTATTAGTATCGTCCTTGAAAAATTACTATCTGTCGACCCATGATTACGTTTTTGCATAATGAAAGCAAAGCAAACACGCTCCAGAAACAGAGACTGAGTTCATATTTTAATCAGTCGGTGGTTATTTCTCTACAACAGACAGTTGCTATGGGAGTACAGCTCCTACTGTTGTCTCCGGGAGACCAAAGGATGCACTGAAAAAAAGTTACAATAATTCAAAAAGAGCAGAAGAGCAAAAGAGTTCATTGGATACAAAAAAGCTGCGAGCTACAGCCGAGAAATCAATAAGATTAAAGATGGCAGGCGGAGAAACGACTAAACAGAACAAAGTTATGGGGAAGGACAGTGTTTAAAGACTGGTCAATTGAAAATAAAATGTCAACAGACTTTACAAGTATCAAGGCTGAAAATCTAACTTCAGGTGCTGTGTTTATTTGTGTGGTCTTGCTCAGCTTGTCTCACTTCATCATCGATGAAAAAGTCTCACTTAATGTGCTTTAACAGCCAAGTTGTGTGATTTTGGGGAAGGCTCCCGGGTATAAGCTTTGCAATGGCAACATTTCCAAGTCAATATTTGTGTAAAGTCATTGATTTTTCTTGTCCGTAGCTGTGTACACCTTCAGGCTGATTTAAGACCCCCGTTTTCCAGGGTTGCATACCTCATTAATGACCCACCGATTGTGCTTTGTCACTTACATAACGCTTTCCTTCTTTCTTTGGTAACCTGTCTTCAAACAAAGCACCAGATGATTCAGCAGAACAAGGGAAGAAGGGAAAGCATTGTTATTGTAAGCTAGTGGTACTTGCTGCTCTTTTAATAGAATCATTATGGCTTAATGAATGTAAACAAAAATGACATTACCTCATCCATCAACATGATTTCTTCAGTCTTTAAGGTAGTTTCTAATTGATGGGGTTGTTCATGATGAAGCAGCAACTCCCACGCTCAAACAACATCTTACTCCAAAAGCAAAAGCCCGGTTATCAGACCTTTTTATTCTTAGGATCATCTTACTGGATTAAATGATTTCTCTTCCCTCCAACTTTCTTAGTGGACAATCCAAGCTTCCTAGTCTCAGAACATACACGTTCAATATTTTCAATCAAAAATCCTAATGTGTGAGAGTAGAGCTGGGCGATAAACCGAAAATTTACAGATACCGAAGTTTACGTCAATAACAAAGGTCATTTCACCCATGTCAATATATTCGGTGTGCAATATATAAAAGTTGGTTTTGGATGTGTGTAGGTAGGCTATGGTCTCATGTCCCTTTCAGACATTGTCCTACGTCAGAGACGTGACTCCACCCCATCCAGTCTGTAACAAAGAGGGAAAGACAGGTGAGGAGATGGAGGACGGTTCAAAAGTTGTAGCGGCTGGAGTAAGTTGACGAAGTTAATGTGGGAGGGGGTGAGCAGCTTGTGAAGCAGTTTTTGTCCATTTATGGTTGTCGAGGTGAACTGCTCAATATATCGTGATATGGATTTGAGGCCATATCGCCCAGCCCTACATGCGAGTGTCGACAGTCAACAGGGCGAGATGTTTTTGAAGACATCACCTAAGTAAGGAGATGTCAAGATGAGCAAAGACCACTATGTCCACACAGGAGCTTTAAAACTGTAGCATGTAAACAGGAAACTAAAAAATAACACAGTAAATATGAAACTCTGGTGACTTTTGTGAGCTTGGGCACACTAGCCAATCATTTGATCGGCAAACAACCAAACGATATAAGACCATTGAAACTGTATTTTCATAAAACAGTCAAATCTTTCTATTCAAAAATTTGTCGTTGCACTTTTTTCCCTATTTCGAGTTTCACCGCCTTAACTTTTTTTGGGAATGAGGTCAGATTTGACCAACAAAATCTAAACTAGTTCATCTTACTTTTCAACAGCATGTTACTGTCAAAAGAAAAAATATATATTTTTCCACCCAAAAACTGTGTTTACACGACTTTTCCATAAATTCAAACAGCACGCTCTGTTCCCTGTCTTAACACCCGACCTGTGCAATGATCCGATGAACTTTAGTGAGGCACTTTTTGCGATGTCAAACTGTGACGGACAGATGGTTTTTGTCTACAACACATCATTTTAGACATCCTCATGATGCACATTTTTGACGAGTCCATTTATCGTTATCGAGGTGAACTGCTCAATGTATCATGATATTGATTTGAGGCCATATCGCCCAGCCCTATATGAGAGGATCATGCATGGCTGATCATGCATGCTGTCCTGAGGTCTACATAAGTCCACATATAGAGGTTGTTTCTTGATGCACAACATGCCAATCACATATGCAACTGTCAGGTCTGGATATGGCTCAAGTCCAGAGCAAAAAAACAGCTTCATTAAAAGGTCAAAATACCCACTAAAATTTCCAATACTGCAGCCTCTCCCTGCAGTTATTATGATTCTACTGCATTAACAACAGAGACAGATTTAGCCTATAATATTGACTCTCACTTTGGACTCGACAGTAAATAACTTATCAGTAGAGATGAGCAATGCATCAACTTCTGAGTCTGGTAGAAGTAGAACTACGGCAAAAATCACTATCTTGTTAATTACCCGGGAGAAGAGAGTGGGTTTGTTTAAGAATAAAGGGGGCTTCATTTGAGGTGGCACACTGACAGTAAATTACAGTGATTATAGGAGCAATTACAATAATAATCATCCCGATTATCATCCATCAGTAAAATTTGTTTGGGTCTGACTGAAGCCTCCCTCCTCCTTTCTCTCTGTATCTTGTCATGATGCATATATTTTGACTATTATCTTTCATTCTTATGTTTATCCCGACAAACTAACTATAGATTTCTTTCTCAGTTCTGCAACATTTTTCTGTAATAATGAATTTGCGAGAGACAGAAGAGGATTCTGCACTCTGTGGGAAATGGATTTGGTAACACCTGTTCATGTTTATCATACTTCGAAGCAGGTTTTATGACAACATACACCTTGTGTTGACCTACACCAAGTTTTCTGAATTAAAGTTCCCCTCCCACAGCAAAGAAGTGCCTTCCCAGATTGAGATGTTTGATGAGACAGGTGGTGTTTTCTTTGTACTTCCTAGGAGCTGAAGGGGAAGATGGAGTCCCTGCAGCCGCTGATCCCTGTCCTGGAGCAATACAAGACGGACGCTAAGCTCATCTCCCAGTTCAAAGAGGAGATCAGGAATCTGTCTGGAGTGTTGATGGGTATCCAGGAGGAAATGGGCGCCTATGACTACGAGGAGCTGCAGCAGAGGGTGCTAAACCTGGAAAACCGGCTTCGCAACTGCATGAATAAACTCAGTAAGTCCGATGCACTCAAAGCGTACGAAGGCACGGTGACCCTAGATTATGCAACAACACACAGATCATAGGTGGATTTCTTGCTGCTGCTAGCAGATTGGAATTGTAGATAGGGAGCAGAGGGGTACAATGTAACTGCTAATGGAAGCAGAAATAAGAAAATCCAGTTTCCTTAGAGTCAAAGAAATCATTTCAGCTGAAAGATGGCAGTATCATGGAGCTCTTACCGACGAAAGCTTCTACAAAAACAAGATTGAGACGCTTATTTCCAAGTCTATTTTATAAATTCAAAACCCTCCGGTTCCTTTTTTCATCATTTGCGATTCAGCGCTGGAAACACGGGGTTCCATTTCTCCACCTACTGTGGTTTAACTCATCTAATAAGATCAATTTATGCCTCCAGAGCAGCTTTGCCTCTGATAACGGTGTGCATGACTAAACTCCAATTTGCCAACCGCCAGGTTATCAGCACTGATGCAGCCTGTCATAGTGTCACTGTAAATAGTTGACATGTGAATGCTAATGGGAAATGGGGCTGGAAATCTGTCTGAGCTGCAGTTGATAAGTGAAGCATCGCTTGTGCATGAGATCCGATTGATTATGTAAAATTGGTGTTAAATACTTAAAAGGGAACTCGTAAGCTTTCGCTGAAGTGATAACCCATTGTCATTTGGCACAATTAAAGTGTCTGGTGAGATGAATTAAGTGCAGCACGGGTTCCTCAAATATTAAAGCAGATGGGATAAATGTTCAGACTGCTCTGACACACAGTTCAAGAGTTTACTGCTTGTTTTAGAGCATCTGTTCATCCTCACATGTAGACGTCTTTCACTTTTCACAGCTTAGTTTAATGCATGTTCAATAATATCCCTAAAATAGACTTAAATGAATCCACAAACCCACTCAGAGATCGGGGTAGACTTCTTCACTGTTTGTCATTTTGATCAACAGGACCATACAAGTGGTCCTAATGTGCCATTACCCCTCATCTAACTTTAATTCTTCCTATTATCATACAGTCAGTGGCTCTCACTGAATCCGTCTCTTAACAATCTATGAAATCACATCTCTTGTTGGAGCGACAGCAACAGTTCAGTTTGGAGAACAAAAGTCTTTTCTTGTTCATGTTATTAAAGCCAAACAAAGGTGATTATATCCATGAAAGTTGTGTACAGTGGTTTCTCATTAGAGACCACATATTAGTTGAGAGGAGGGAGAGTGGAGTCGTGTACAAGTGATCCAGACTGACATTTGCCTATTCTGATGCTGCATCTATAGAGCTGGGTATTGTTTTAATATTATGGGTCCTGGTCCTGGTTCTGTTTACAGTATTTTTGGAGAGGAAAATTCTCAGCCATATTGGACACGCTTGATCCCTCGCCGCTTCATTATCGTTAGTCAATCTCTGGCTGTGATCCTCTTTTCACAACTTTGTTTACAGACTGCATCAAGTGGTGTTACAGTCCGCCAATACAGTAGGTCCTGGCCGATACGTAAAACTTTACGAGGACTTGAAACTCCTCTCTGAAGTTGTAGCTGTACTGAAATAACAAATCTACGAATCATACACAGAAGTGCAGATGCTTGTTGTCTGGCATACACTGATATTACCATTAATGCATATTTGTTCAAGAATTAGCTTGCTCTCAGTTTTCTTATCCCTAAAGGTAGCCTTCAGATCTTCATCAGTGATTAGAAATGATATGAACTACAGAAAATATTTGTTTCTGACTTATTTACGATTATGAAAACAGCAAACGAGAGACACGTCAGCTTTAGGACTTACAGCATGTACAACAGTGGAAGCACTTATCTCCAACGGTCTTTGTTTTGCATAGAAATCTGGTTTTAAGTATTGATTTCCTCTTGGCACAAGAATTTTCTGCAGTAGTGTTCCTGAAAAAAAGTCAATTACCACCAATGAAGATAATAATTGTGCAGAGGATGAACTTTGACATCTATTTGAGGTTTGACTATCAGTTTGTTCTCAGCTAAAACTGAGCTCCTCAGATCTGAAACTCTCCACACTTAAATGCTTATCCTTATTATTTAGAGCTGCTGCGGAGTGTGTGATGTGTTTGCGTCGCCTAATCCGTGTGGTGTGTTCGCAGCATGCGGGAAGCTAATGAAGATCACCGGGCCGCTGACCGTCAAAACTTCAGGGACCAGATTTGGAGCCTGGATGACCGACCCTCAGGCGTCTCCCAAAAACAACAGGGTGAGTGAGCACACTTCGCTCTGTGTTTCACAACGCTCTGAGAGGTTAAATGATTTACACGTAACGGGAAATGACACCAAACATATATAGCTCTGAGACTTTTTCATACGGTCAACTGCTGAGATCAAACATAAACATTAATGTCTCATGATGGACGTTTTAATGTTAACGCACATTTTGCTGCTCTTGAAGTTCAAACTAGGAGTCCGTAAAAAGAGAGAGGGGTCTTCTAAGGCCGGCACATCACAACTTGTCCTTTAGCTTTGAACATTTCCTCTCTGTGGTAAAGTTTTTGAACTCCTACAGCACACGTCTGTGCCCCCCCCCTCCCTCCCTTTAGCTGACACTTTGCTCTGTGTCTTGGCGGTTAAAACGTTCATCTTTCATTTAGTGTAATAGAATAAAGCCTGAATTTGCATCGTCAGCTGCCTGCTTGTATACGATCACATACAGAGTAAAAATAAATAAATTAAGTGTATTTAGGTGGTAAAACAAGCAGATGTCAAGCAGCTTAGGACTCAGCAGATCTTGAACACTTTTCATTTTGGCTCTATGATGAAGGAATAGCAGTCCATCAGGGACCAGTTTTCTCTGTGGCCACTTTGAAAAGTTCTTGAAAAACTCATTTGTATAAAAGGCTTTTTAATAAGCTTTCCTTGTTTTCTATGCAAATATCTGTCCTCAGCTGAGCTTCTATTTCCTGACTGCACAAGACCTCATTCAACTTGAAGTGCCTCTTTTCTAATTTTATGCCTGTGTTTTTCAAGGTGCTACATATATTGAATTAATTTCTCAAGTGGTGATAAAAGTATATTACAATCTGCTAAAAATATTTGAAAATATCCTTCAATAACTTGATATACTCTCCAATTCTATTCCTAAGGATACGTCTTAGAAAGTCCCCCTCTTTGTCCTGGTTTGATCTCATCAGTACCAGCAAAAACAAATATACATCCAGTTCTCTTTCAGTGTCTTTTAAAATCAGGGCCTGTCTCCACTTACAGCAGCAACTCTTTTGTATACAAAGCCAATGCAGGCCTCCTTTTTTTAGTGCTCACTGTCCTCTCCTAAAAAAAACACCCTCAATGTCAGCTGTTTTTCATCACCTCCCTCCTCCAATCAAGTGGAAAACTTTGAAACATCCTCAAGAGCTTGTGAGTGGCACTTGTTCATCACTGACCAATCAAAATCAAGAAGAGGCGGGACTTCTACATTTATATGACGCTCGATGAAACTGAATTATTGCCTTACTCCGATTATGACCAGACAACTGAAGTGCATGTAAACACCTTAGAACTCCTATTAAGACACCCAGATAATGTGATTGGAATTTGATTTTCTCTACCATGTAACCAGCATAGTTGGAGTATGATTGGACAATGCATGTGTGCCACGCCCCTGTAACCCCAGAACAAAAACACCAGAGAAGAGGAGCAGCGTGTATCTCATCTGCAGAAAAAGTAGGGCGTACATCATTTACGATGAAAAAAAATGCTGTACGATGCTCCATCTTCTTGCTCGAAAATGCCCAGCAGTAGTTGTAGCCACTTCTGATGTCTGGCACGGACCTGCTGTTGTTGTTGACAGTTGTACGGGATCGGAAACAGCGCCGCTGGAGAGAACCCTATTCGCCCCCTAGATGTAAAGATGCTGTTAGTGGAAACAGGCCCTAAAAAAAGGCAGATTACATTGTTGTTCATGTGTTTTCTTAAACTGGTGCTCAGGCTTTGTACAGTCTGATTAATGATTTACGGTGATAAGATTATACATGACACAGTTTGTCTTATTGTTTATCTGTCCTCAGGTCTGGTACATGGACAGCTACACCAACAACAAGATCGTAAAAGAGTTCAAATCCATCGCCGATTTCGTGGCAGGGGTTGAGTCCAGGACCTACAACCTGCCGTTCAAGTGGGCAGGAACCAACCATGTGGTCTACAACGGCTCTCTGTACTACAACAAGATGCAGAGCAACATCATCGTGAGGTACAGCTTCGAGACGGGCCGCGTGGTCACACAGAGGGCTCTGGAGTCTGCCGGTTTTCACAACGTGTACCCGTACACCTGGGGCGGCTTTTCTGATATCGACTTGATGGCGGACGAGCTGGGCCTGTGGGCGGTGTACGCCACTAACCAGAACGCCGGGAACATCGTCATCAGCCAGCTGAACCCGGACACGCTGCAGATCCTCAGCACCTGGAACACAGAGTACTCAAAGAGGAACGCCGGTGAGTCTTTCATGATCTGCGGGACGCTCTACATCACCAACTCCCACCTGACCGGAGCCAAGGTGTACTACGCCTACTCCACTAAAACCTCCACCTATGAGTACACAGACATCCCTTTCCACAACCAGTATTTCCACATGTCTATGCTGGACTACAACTCCAGGGACCGCGCCTTGTACGGGTGGAACAACGGCCACCAGGTCCTGTTTAACGTCACGCTTTTCCACATCATTAAAACAGAGGATGACTCGTAAGAAAAGGGACGAACTGCACATGAAAAAAGAAAACATAAAAAGATGGAGGACATTTACACTTACGCTTGAATGTTCTGAGGAATCAATGTATTTAATAATTTATGTATTTATTATTTATTGATGACATTTTCTCATTATTTTTGAGCATTTTCACACAAAATTGATCATCAGCGTCGCCTATTTCCCTAAAACGAATTAATCACTCGTGATATTCTCCATATGCAAACCTGACACTTTGAATGACAGCACAAAATTGAAACAAATTGGGTCCATTATGAAACATACTGCAGGTAACACTCTTTCATCTAAATAATGGCACTTTTCCTCAAACTTTTCAGCAACACAGGACTATGAACTTCCTCTACTTTCTGCCGCTCATTTTTCTCTATAAAATAAAAGCTTTTCCAAAAGTGAATTCTTCATTTTCATAATGGTTTCCTCATTCAAACCCACATTTATTCATGCCCCCCCTTGATTTATTCATATTTTGACTGTGTTCGCTAATTGTTCGTTTTGTTTCCATTCTCTTCCCTCCATTTATTCATCATCATCTTCTAATTTATTCTGGCCTTTCGCTGCCTCCACTTAGCTTTCAATTTCTCTTTGTACTTTTCCTTTTAGAAGTTTTCTTTTTTTTCTTTCTCTTGACCTTGTACAAGACAATGAGAAATGTGGTGAACCATGATGCACCTGTAAAGTTACTGTACTTGGCTTTTTCGTGTCCATAAATCTTCTCAAGTCATCCAGGTCATTGAGTATCTTGAAGTACAGAGTTGAAGTCCTTCAGAAAACATGAAACATCTGCAGATGTCGAACTCGGTACTCCAAGATACTAGCTTTTTTGTAACTTCTGCGACAGTTTGTATGCCTTATTCAGTGCAGTAAGTTCTGTAAGCCCAGGATAACCGCTCTCGTGCATGAATGTTGGCTATCCTAAAAGCATTTCTACTGTAACTGTATATCTGTGTATTTTGTAACTGCACAACATCCCATTCTCCTCCTCTCTACAGTAGCTCTTAATGGTCTGAAGGTCCATTAATGCAGACAGCAGTAGATCTCTTTAATAAGCATTCATTTGTGTAAATAAGATGTTAACCAAAATAAAAGTATTGTTTTCATTAAAACAGCTCAGCTCTGTGTTTTTCAGGTTCCAGAAGCTTCTGCGATGGTGAACTTTCACAGCTTTTTAATTTAATGTGGCATCACTTGAAATCCAAAGACCTGAGAGCAACAATATCTGCCAAACAAGAGTTATTTCAACGTCCTCTGAAAGGACAGGGGGAATGAGATTTTTGGTCTTTTCCCTGCGTCAGCTTGGTCATTTTATTAAACTGTGACTCACTGTCAGAGTTTTCATCACATTAAGACTGCTCGCTGTCTCCTAATCAACAAAAAGGAAGAGGCTGCCGTCTTTGGGTATAAAAGCTTCCTGTTTTAGTTGTTTGGCTTGACAGGGTTTGACTCTATATTTAGAGTCGATTAAGTTTAATTCCTGTGCTATTACCAAGAGTAGACAGTTAATAAATACGTATTTTCACAATTGAGGTTCAGTGCTTTCTAACCTGACATGGAAATAAGAGTCAGACGGGCGTTATGGTACAGTAGGACTAACATCAGCGCCTGAAGAAGCTCCGCTCCAGCAGAGGGCGCTCTCATCGTAACCTACCCACAACACTATTCTACAACAGTGAAGGAAATTTTTAAGCAAAGCTGCACTGAGCGGACAATCACAACATGAAGAAGTAGTTTAAGATCTACACTAGGGTGACCATATTCTGAAGCCAAAAAGAGGCGCGTCGCCGCACGGGTAAATGCTAAAGCTACATGCTGCTCCGGAGGGGGATTTTGTCCCCCGCCGCCGGAGTTGTCGGGGAAGAAGCGAGCGGCTGAAATACGGGAGGATCCGGTAAACCGGCGCGGATCCGGTGTGTCTATCAAAGCGTGGTGGCCGTGCTGAGGCACCGGGGGTAATACCGGCTAAACAGTAAGTCAAAATAAAACGTTCACACTTACAGATGCCTCGTTTGTAGGAGGTTCACGGATAGTTGGTACGGATCCATTCTTTATCTTCAGACATCTAGCAAATCCAGCGTTGAACTGTCCCTCGTTGATAAAAAAGTCCGAAGTGAAATGGTGCGCACATACATACAGATATTTTGGAAGTGCCGCGGGTACATTCCCATTATAAATAAAATCCACCCATTGAGTCCTCAAATCCTCCGACCAGGGAGTTTTCAAAAGAGTTTTGTGCTCGTTTGTGCAGCCAACAACAGAGCAAACGCTGCCTCTTTTTCAGATCGTACTTCCGCCATGGTTCTAACCGGAACTATGCGAGCGAGCGGTCGGGAATAATGGCGGTGTTTTGATAATTTTGTGGGCAGGGCAGTGGGCGGCTCCATGGGCAGTACCGTCAACCCGCCAGCACTGACACGACGTCATGTCAGTGGAGTTTTCAGAACGGCCGGTGTTATGCCGTAAAATGCACCCCTGCCGTAGGATGCACCCCTAACGGTAGCACGGTTGAAAGTACCTAAAAAGGCGAAATAATTCAAGTTTTCCTTACCGCTGGACGCATTCAAAAGCATGTGCCTTTAATAACTTAATTCAGGCTATTCAGATAAGTCGAAAACAATCGCCCTCTGATTCGTAATATTTGCTGTCCCGAAAATATAATGTTTGCTATCTTGACAGCTAACTGTACAGTTTGTACACCCAAGTACACCTCTGTATGTGCATTTTTGACACATAAAAACAAAATGAAAGTTTGCTGCTCCATTTGACACGTTTTATGATCCAATACTCATGTTTTTGTTAAAATATGAGATAATTTTCTTCCTCTTTAAGAAGCTAATGAGTGGAGGGGGTGCATTCTACGGCACAACACCTGCTCTGAGCACACAGTTCCTAAATACAGAGATAACTAAAAAACGACTAGATGGAATTTTTTCGAACTTGGGGGGGATTGTATTTTCTATCCCTGATATGCACCCCCCTCCCGTTAACAAAGTCAGTTTTTCATGGCCCCTTTAAACTGCCCGTGTAAACCAGGTGACTTTTATGCAGGTACAGCTTGTTTCTCAACACCACCAGCTCCATTCTGTCGATAAAATCACAGGCTAGATTTTCAGGTCGGTTGCTGGTTTTCCAGTTGGAAGGTTGGCTGTTATCTCCAAACTCCTGGAGCCCACATTGTAAAGTGTCTTTGGGCGAGACACTGAACCTCAGTGTAAATACACTTGATTGTGATCGATTGATGCTGGCGGCCACTTTGGAGAGCATCCTCTGCCTTCAGTGTTGAATGGATGAATGTGGCATAGATTGTAGACGTACTTAAGGCCTACATAAGTACAGTTAATAAACTATTTACTATATTTTATATGTATTGCAGTATGAAGGAGTATTGTAGATTCCTCTTAAACAGTCCAAAAAGAAGATGTTTATTTTATTATGTATTTTTTTAGTCATTAGGCACAGAAGAAAACACTAATGAGTAAATTTTATACAACAGGTGATAAGAAAAACAGAAAAACTGTCACCCTCAGGCGGCCTCTACTAAAATGAGGTCATATCAAATTTGCTGCCTGTTAATTAAGTTTTTAACTCTAATGCACAAAAAGAAATATATGTTTGAATAAAACTAAAAAGGTAACTTGTTTGGTCTCATGGGATTATTAAAACGCAAGAGTCAACTGAAGTTCATCTGCTGTGAGGACATAAAAATGTCTCACTTCTAAATAAACTGTGATTAATGCAGGATAAAGAGATACTAAGAGGGAAATGTGGGACGGACACAGTTGTCAGATATGACCCGAGCAATTTTGTGAGGTTAATTAGGGAGGAAGAGGTTATTACAGCGTAAAATATTTGCAAGTGTCTCGCTATAAAACATCTTAATAAGCCCTACCATAAACTTCTGCCTCTGAGGTCATGATATTTTTAACGAAAAGGACACTAAGAGTAAAACCTGCCAAGTCAGAAAGGTCAGTTTTCTATCATATGCAAATCTCCAAAAACAATCATTACGTTTGTTTCATCTTATACAGTCTTTCTTTGATCAGGCAACACTCTTCTTTCAAGTTTCACTAAAATTTGAAGATTGTTTTTAACTGAAATCCTACAAAACATCCTCCGCAGTGGAGGAAACTCACTATCTCATGCAAATAAAGTGGGATTAAAATCAAATCTATAATTATTCCTAAAGTGTTAGTACACTCATCACTGAATTCACACCTTTGGAAAGGCTGCCGTGTTGGCTTATGAGAAGTGTTGACTAGTCAGAGAGTCTTTTTGTGAACTTTTCAAGCCATCAGCTGCCTCAGGCCCAAAGGGAGCTGTCAACGTTGGACCGAGTGTTTCTTCAGCACAAACGCACACAGCACTCACAGTATGCATACACTGACTTAAATATGGACTTTCTTATCACCACACTGCCCACCCACAGCTCAAACTCTGACAGGCTTAGTGTTAAACTCTCCTCAGGGCGTGATCAATACAGGTCAGACACACAGGAAGCGTCTGAAAGGTCAGGGAAGCAGCAGCAGCTCCTTGCCTAAGGAAACACAGTATGGATCTCCTGAGGTATTGATCCCAGGAGAGCACAATGTCAGAGAACTCAACGTGTTTTAACTCACATGATTCCCGCAGCATTGGAAGGGCATCGCACGTGGAGTTTGCTGTTCCCGAATGACTTTCTGCAAATCACGAACAGCATGACGGTTATGCAGTAAAAGTATCCCCTATGAGAAGCTCTTTTTGGCTGATGTTCAGTGAAACAGACCTGCCAACACACCAGCTTTGGCGCTGGCCAAAATTATGGTTTTCTATTATTAAAGAACCAAAACACATTTATTCCTGCTGTATAGTTGTGAGCCCTCTGGGGCACAACACATCGTGTTTTTAGTCAATTTCTCTTAGATGCCTGTACACCTCTAGCTCCAAAAATCATTGGTGATGTGTTCTCACCAACACTCATAGATCTGGGCGACAGTTCCTCAGCAGAAAACTGTATTTACCTCATACCACAGTCCAGGTTCAGTTGTTCAAAAGTAATCTTATTTTTTTCTCCAGGGAGGGAAATAACAAAATCAAACATATACATATGTAAGGTGCATCCAAACCAGTGAAATCAGAGGCATTTATGTGCTTTTGCTAAGCTGAATGAGCATGGCATTTTTTATGTGGACCTCTGTTTTTATGAGAAGTGCATTAAACCGTTCCTACTGATTCCTGCCAGCTCTGATTCCCATGTTTATATATGAGGAAGAGGAAGCCGAAACCCCCCAAATTAAGTTACTTGGCTTCTTAAAAAGAAAGTGTCTCCTTTAATTGGAGTCCTGTTTTGTTTCATCTCCATCTCTTTAACTCTCAGCTTCTCCTGCAAAGATTTGGAATTTCTGCACCTGATTTAAAGGCATTATGTGAGTAACTCTCCCCGACTCCGGCCTCAGTTTCACTAACTCATGCCCGTTCATGACTCATGCTTTATCTGGTCACATTTAGAAGGTAGTTGCACTTTAATGCCACCTGCTGGCTGGAGGTGTATAATACATTTTGAGCATAATTATTTGATCCCTTGCCAGCTTCAACTTCTTGTACTGTAAAGAAGCAGATGTGCATTTGCAGCTCATAACAACAGTGATTGGAGACCAAAACGAAACTTGAGACCGATCAGTGAAACTCAGGCCCAACATTTTTAAATCATTTTTATTGCAGCTTGTTTATTTTACTCACTTGAGATGAAAACGCACTATGATTTTTAAATTAAAACTAGACTAATTTCTGAAAATCTCTCTCAGTTATGGTCTGCTTTTCTCCTCATGCAGAGTCATGGTACATTAGCACCCTCTGTTAAACAGCTGGCACATCTCATCTAAATAAAACTATGAAATTAAGATTTAGAACCATTAAACGTAAATCTTGATGATTGGCTTTGCAAAAGAAAAATACATATATAAATGAATTGAATTTGATCTGGTTTTTGAATCCAGAGAAAACCCCCAATTTATGTTGTTAGACACTATTTACAGCCCTCTGGTGACTTAAATCCTGATATGAATAAAATGTGGTAAACTTTTTAAATGGTCAAATAATACAGTCTATAGCAGTAGACTTTTTTCAGAAATATTC